TTTCCAACAAAACTGCTGGTGCTTAACAAAAGGAAGAGAAACTGCTTTAATTCTTACTGCCATCCAAAATCTTAGAGACTCAGTGTTAAGACCCACTGGTGGTAAGATTGGAAGATAGACAAGGTAGAGGAAAAACAGCGATACGATACGATGTTTTTCTTCTCATTTAAAAATGTACTTTGAATGCACTTAAATTAATCAAATATTTATTAAATGCCTACCATAGGAAAAAATCATTGTGCTTCACTGAGGAGAAATGGAATGTACAGTTTAAAAAGAAATACAATTGGGCTTCTGGAAAGTCTTGGAAGTGCCTTGTCCACAGAGGAGGGTGTATTTAACCACTGTTTCTTGCCAACTGTCCATGGTCTGCTTCTGAGCCTGTTAATGGCTGCCCTCTGGAATCTCCAGCCATGCCGTCTTGTTTGGGGAAGTGCAGCATGAGGGAGTGGTTGGTAATGGGAGGAACTGAGGCCCCTGCCTGACCCACACTGTGCTGTCCCCTGTCCCGTCAGCCTTCATGTGCACCTTTCAAGGTTCAGCTCAAATGTCAATCCCTATTGAAACTTTAACCAGCTGCTCTGCTGTCAATAAACTCTCTGTCATTTCCACCTCTCCAAACATGTTATCTATTCATGGTGGAAGCATGAGTTTGCAACTAGACAGACCTGAGTTTGGCACTGTCTGCCATTTACTAGCTGTTTGGCCTTGGATAAGTTACTCAGGCTCTCTGAGTCTCAGTTCCCTCCCCTGCAAATGGGGAATGTCAATAACTCCTCGCTTAAAGAGTTGTAACAATGAAAGCTGATAATTTATCCAAGGGCTTAGCAGCGTGATTGGCATAGCACAGACACCCCAGAAATGTGGCCTGAGAAAATGAATGAAAGCTAGCTAGATGTCAGCATCCCTGGGGTCTGATTCATCTCTAGGGCTGGGCACTAGAAACCCAGCAGTAAGTACTTTTAGACTCAAATCATCCTTAACCCTGCATGTGTGATTTTACTCTTGTGCATATGAAGCTGTTTTGTTTTCCACTGATGTACTGGCTACAGGGGCAGCAGAAGGGAAAGCTTTGAAGGAAGTGACTTTATTTACATTTGGATGTTATGCTGACCCCACTCTAGACCCTGCACTAAGTGTTTTCTTTATATTACTTCTTCGGGTCCTCATAACTCTAAAAGGTACACACAGATGAGCAAACAGAGGCACTGAGAGGATGAGGAGCTTGCTACATGAATCCAGCCCTGTCTGATTCCAGAGCTCTTGTTCTCACTCATTAAATCTGATGCCTCTCAAAAGAGCAGAGAGGGAAAATGTCTGGTTGTACAGAAAGGATGCAACTGACCTTTCCTTAGTTTGCAGAGGAACAGCCCAGGAGGTGGAGTGATCTGTGCACCTAGAAGCATGTGTGAGAAGTCCTCTATGTACATAATTAGAAGAAAAATCTTTATATTATTTGTATCAAAAAATAAGACTTTTTTTTTTTTTTTTTTTTTTTGAGATGGAGTTTCGCTCTTTTTGCCCAGGCTGGAGTGCAATGGTGCGATCTCAGCTCACTACAACCTCTGCCTCCCGGGTTCAAGCGATTCTCCTGCCTCAGCGTCCTGAGTAGCTGGGATTACAGGCATGTGCTACCACACCCGGCTAATTTTGTCTTTTTAGTAGAGATGAGGTTTCTCCATGTTGGTCAGGCTGGTTGTGAACTCCCAAAAAATAAGGTTTTCTTAACAAGCCTTCTTGGTTGATGGATGTAGAGATAATGTGAACATCTATCTCTACACTATCATCTGCCTTCAGCACAGTCAGTCAGCTTCAGCTCCCACTTCTTAATGCGGCAAATGTCTATGTGGCTGAACTGGACAGTGAGCACTGGGGTTCATTAAGTGCAAGTCAACAGGAATTTTCTGGAAAGCATCAGACTATTTTGAATCTTGCAGACGCCAGCCCCACATAAGCCAATGTTAATCTATCCTGCTTTATCCATCTGCCCCTCATCCTCGGGGATGAGATCTGCATGTACAGAAAGGGAAAGGTGTTAGAGAGAAAAGGTGTAGAAGAAAACACTTGCATTCAGAAATGGAGTTCGTTCTTCCCCTCAGTCTCTCGTTCCCTCGGAATACCTGCTGGGTATTGCTGGTCTGGAGGCAGTGGAAGAGAGTGAATAGAAAGGGACCAGCTTGGTTGGCCTGGGAAGCTTCTCAGATCAACTCACAGAAAGTGCAATGAACAAGACCAGGGATAAATGTGATAGTGTCTCTGAAGCACCCTGGAGCCTGGTTTCAGAATTGAGATTTTTTTTTTTAATCACATGCTTTTCCATGAGTCAGAAACCTCATTCTATTATAATAGACATCTTCCTCTTAACGTGTCTATATGGACCTCTCTTTTTCTGCAGCTCCCCAGTCTGGATCACCATCCACTTCATTGCTCATGCCAAAGACTTAGGAAACATCCTGTTCCTCTCTTTCGCTCACTCCCCACAGCCAATCCATCAGCAGGTCATGCCCGCCAGTCTCGTCCGGACACTCACACCAACCCCCTACTGTGTGTTCAATTTCTGTCCACATCACCCCCAATCCCTACGACACACAGGTATCTCTTGGCTGCCCCTTTGCTTCTGGGCACATTGGGTAGGGAATTCCAGGGTCCTGGGCACAAACATGGACAAGCAGGGGTTGGTGTGGGCTCTGAATACTCACAGCACCTTGAGGCCATAGACTCCTCACCTCAGCACAGGCTCGGTTGGGGAAGGCCGCTGGGACCTCCTAAAGCTGGGGTCCCTGTTGTCAGGGCAAGGAAAGGGAAGCCCTTGATTCTATCTCCAACTCTCCTCCTAAATGAGGGTACCCACTTCTCCCTTCTCCACTGCCAGCATTCTAGGCCAACAGCTGGTCCATCCTCTCACTGACCCCTCCCTGCTCTCTATCATCTCAACACCTTGCTTAAAACCTCCCCCTCACACTTAGAATAAAATCTCAACTCCCTGACCTTCTAGGCTCCCTCTGGGGTGACCAGGTACAGTGGGGAGGGGCACACACTTTCGGTGACTATCCTTGGAGTTAATGGCATGGGGTTTGGCACCAGACAGCCAGACTCTGTTCATTCCTGAGACAGACCAACTTTAAATAAGTACAGATGGCTGTCGTGTTCTCCACTGAGCAGTCTCTCCTAGGGGTGAAAGCTCCCAGGTCCTCAACCCTTCCTCACAGCACATGGTTTCTAGCTGCTATCATTCTGGTGCTGCTTTTCTGAGCATGCTGATCTGGGAATGTCTCTTTTGAAAGGGGCTCCTCAAAGTAAACGTTATGTTCCAGAGGTGGTCTTGGCATACTGAACAGAGTCAGATATTACTTCCCTTCTTATTAACACAGTTAAAGATCACATTACCTTCCCTGGAAGACACATTTAACTGCTTCCAGTCAACTAAAATCCCCAAGCTTCATGCACACTTCCTTCCAGCCACGACTTCCCATCAACATTTATCTGTTTTGTCTTATCTATTTATGAGCAGGATTTTACATGTATTCCTATCTACTTCATTTGATTGACATCTTGATACTCTTCTGGCCTCTCTAGATCATTGCAGATTATGATTATATCAGCCACTGGCTGGCATATACAGTTTCAAGTCACACAAGCATTGCTTCAGCAGGTCATCCATGCTAGTCACTGACAAAGCTATTGAACAGAGTCCTGCTATCTGCTATCCGGATCTACTTTCAGCCTCACAGGTAGTTAACCACTTGTTATCCTTGATCATTCGGCCAGTGTGGGGGACATATCCCAAGGTGGCCCCTAGTGACTCATGCCCTTGTGTAATCCCTTCCCCTTGAATGTTTGCTTACAGCCCATCTTCTCATGCCCTGAAATTCTCTTTATGTTAAACTACCTAAGGGTGAGGACCATTTGCTTTCCTCTGTATTACCCAGACTGCTGAGCACAGCATCTTCCACATAGTACTTTCAACGTAAAAACTGTGAAAATAGTTTGTGACTGGAAAATACTGTTAATATATGATGCTGCAAATCTTCAACTGTAGACTTAATCTGAGTCAAGGACTTTTAATTTACTTGGATGATCTGGATAACAGTAAAATTCAGATTATATGTATGTATTCATTCATTTATTTATTTAGGAGATGGGATACTGCTATGTTGCCCAGGCTGGTCTCAAACTCCTGGTCTCAAGCGATCCTCACACCTCAGCCTCCCAAAGTGTTAAGATTACAGGCATGAGCCACCACACCTACCAGAACTCCTCTGTGGCCTTACAGTTACTGTGATGGCCAACCATTCATCTACTCATGACATGTAACTCCCTTAATGGTAGCTTTGTGACCCGAAAAACTTGATCTTGCTTTCAGAGGAGCCCAATTTATGTTGCACTGAAATGGCTCAAGGACGAAGAAAATTCAAATTAACCAACCTTTCACTCAACAAATAATTAATGGAACCCCTTTAAGTACTGTTCACAGATTCTTAGTTACACTTCTTTTCAAGATGTGGAACTTAATTTCCCTTGCATTGAGTGTGGATTGGACTTAGTGACTTACTTCTAAGAGACAGAATACAGTGGATGTGATGGTGTGTGGCTTCTGAGGCTAGTATGTCATGGCAGCTTCCTTCTTGTTCTCTCTCTTGAATTCCTTGTTCTGGTGGCAGCCAGCTGCCATGTTGTGAGGACACACAAGCAATTTCACACAGCAAGGAACTGAGGCCTCCTGCCAAGAGCTATGTGAACAGGCCACTTTAGTAGCAGACCCTCTAGCCACAGTTAAGCCTTCAGATGACTACAGCCCTGGCTGAGATCTTGACACAACCTCATGAACAACAGTGAGTCAGGACCACCTAGCTAAGCTGCTCTTGAATTCCTCGTCCACAGAAACCACAGAAACATATGAGATGATTAATATCTATTGTTTTAAATTGCCAAATTTTACAGTAACTTGTTATGCAGCAATAGACAACTAATACAAATACAAATTCAGAATTTCGACTTACCTTGCAGTATTGTAAAATTCTTGATGAGCTGACCATGCTTGGAGTCTACTAGCTTCATTTCTTCCATAATCACTGATAAGTTGGCTACTTCAGTGTCTAACCTCGACCTCATCAAATCTTGTTGCATCCTGAGAGAAACAGAATCCAAACGGATGTTGGCCAGGGTATTATTCAAGGAGGTCAGATCATCCGTGTGTTTGGTTAGGGTATCTGTGCAAGTGGTCCTGACTTCATTTAGATTGCTGGTCAGCGTCCGCAGGTGGTGGGCTGTGTAACTGATATTGCTAATGATGTTCACAATATCTGTCTCAAAGAGTTGGAAGCGTTCCTCCAGTTGGTTGAACTTGATGGCTGTTCTATTCTCTGCATCCTTGTGTAAGTCCTGCAGGTCTTTCAGGTTCTGCTCATTGGCTTGAGAGATAGTGGTGATGTTCTCCATCTGACCTGTGAATGAGTTGAGCTGGCTGTTCATATCCTCCAGGGTGTCATTGTTGGCTTTGGCCAAAGCAGAGTTGTTGGCAGCCAGCGTCTGCAAGCTCTGCACTTTCTCCTTCAGCCAATCCGTGTCCTTCTTGGCTTGAAGAAAAACCTGCTGCAGATTTTGAAAGTCGTTCTTGATTCGCTGGATAGCCTGGCTTGTGTCATCCACAGACCGCTGCAGATTCGTGATGAGGTTCCTCTGCTGTACCTGGGTCAGGTTCAGGTTGTTAAGGTTCATGATGACCACGTTATGAGAATACATTTGATTCTGCAGATTGCCCTGGAGCACGCTGGTATCTTGCTGCAGATTTGTGACATAGCCATTATACGCCTGGAGGGTTTTGTTCACAGTGGTGATGAGGAAAGAATTATTCTCCAAAGTTTCTTTCAGTTGACTCTGCCTGTCCACCAGTGCATCCCCGCTCGCCTGTAACTTCTCCAGCGTATCCTTGTTCTTGCTGGTTTTTTCTGTAATCTCACGAAGTTGCTGACGGAGATCTAGAATGTCTGATCTGAAGGTGGAGAGTTCTGAGTTGGTGCTGATAGCTTTCTTCCCAGTTTGGTCACCTAGAATAAGAAATATCTGTGACTTACGTTGGTGGTATGGAGAAGTGTTCAGTCAAGGCCAAAGATCCCAAACACACTTAACTGGTATGCACTGTATTTTAGATGCAAAATTGGCAGTATAAGCAGACAGCTCTGCATTAGTAAGATGTACACATCTATTAAAACTGGGTCCTGGGGAATCAGAAAGGATGCCCAGCACTAGGAATGACAAACTTGGCTGAACATTTTTCTCAAAGAGGGAGGGGGAATTTACTAGATTTTAGGGCAGTGGGCAGGATGTCAAGAAGAAAATAACCTTTTAAATTTCCCAATTTTTTTAATGAAAGCAAAAATCAAGGAATAGAACATGCTAGGATCTTTTACTTTATAACTTAATTTCTACAATTCTTCTATGTAGTTTAAATTATTTCAAAAATGCTCAGTGAATTCCTATTTATCTGATAGTTTTTAATAAAGGGTATTTGTGGTTTTTTTCAGTCAGGATTGATCTTCAGATATTATTTGGCGCATAATAGTATTTTTGGCAGGACATAATTCCAAAATGGACCCTTAACTTTAAAATTTAAGCATTTGAATTAAATCATGAGGGAAGACTCAACAGGCAACACAAAAATGGAATGTCCTTCTGGGTGAATGGGGAGTGTATAGCAACATCATTCTAAGAGGCTGTGGTCATTTATGTAGAGTCAGGGGATTTCACTGAATGGTTCAGTCTTGTCACAGATTACCTAATTTCTTCAGGTCACTTTCCACTGCTGTGAGCTTGTCATCATAGGTTTGGCGAGATGTCTCCATGCCGCCTGTGACATTGTCCATTTTCTCTACAACTAAGATTTGGAAAATGATGCATTAGTACACACACCTGCTCATATTTTATTTTTCAGTTTCAAAACAAGAGATCATTTCATTATGGAACAAAGGAAACAGATTGAACAAAAAAAGTGTAACTGAAATCAAATACAGGAAAGAAAAGCCATCTTTTTGGAAAAATAACTTACTTGTCACAAAACCCAGGGGTACAATTTACTCAGTTGAGAATTGTATGTTCTTAACGATTCTTATGATTCTATAACGCCTTGGATGTTTCAGAAATCATTTGGAACTAATTTTAAAATTTTCATGCATTTTAGAAGTCCCTAATCTGTTACTTCCTATATTAATTTCCATAGACGAAGGCACAGAACACTGTGATAATTTACAAAATGTTGTCACTCATCAGCTTGCCTAACATTCTTTGCAGGTGGGACTCATTTACCTAGAAGAGGATTCCATTGGCAAGGAAAACCCAGCTCAAGTCTATACATAAAATCGTCATAGAAAGGACACAAAGTCAAGAGTGTCTGCCACTTTCTGTTATGAGTTCCACCACAACGCCCTGGAAATCTGCTTTTTGTTAGTGACAACTGATTCTGTAGTTTATCAGTTCTCAAGTAGATACCTGAGTGGTGTTTCCAAACAATGATTTGCCAAGTATTTTTTGATAGCATTTTCTTGATTGTATATGATAGGGAAAGTAAAACCATTGATAGGGTTTGGCTGTGTCCTCACCCAAATCTCATCTTATACCCCGCTAATTCCCATGTGTTGTGGGAGGGACTTGGTGGGAGATAATTTGAATAATGGGGGTGGTTTCCCCTATACTGTTCTCGTGGTAATGAATAAGTCTCACAAGATCTGATGGTTTTATCAGGGGTTTCTACTTTCGCATCTTATTTTCTCTTGCTGCCTGAAATGTTAATCCCCAAGACAACTGGGAAAATGTCTTCAGGGCAAGTCAGAGCCTTCACGGCAGCCCCTCCCATCCCTGGCCTGGAGGCCAAGGAGAAAATGGTTTTGTGGGCCGGGCCCAGGGTCCCCATGCTGTGTGCAGCCTAGGGACTTGGTGCCCTGTGTCCCAGATGCTCCAGCCGTGGCTGAAAGGGGCCAATGTAGAGCTGGGGCCGTGGCTTCAGAGGGTGCAAGCCTCAAGCCTTGGTAGTTTTCATGTGGTGTTGAGCCTGCGAGTGCACATAAGTCAATAGAGGTTTGGGAACCTCTGCCTAGATTTCTGAGGATGTATGGAAACTCCTGGATACCCAGGCAGAAGTTTGCTGCAGGGGCGGGGTATGCATGGAGAACCTCTGCTAGGGCAGTGTGGAAGGGCAATGTGGGGTTGGAGCCCCCGCACAGTCCCTACTGGGGCACTGCCTAGTAGAGCTGTGAGAAGAGGGCCACCGTTCTCCAGACCCCAGAATGGTAGATCTACTGACAGTTTGCACTGTTCACCTGGAAAACCAACAGACGCTCAACGCCAGCCATGAAAGCAGCAGGGAGAGAGATTGTACCCTCCAAAGTCACAGGGGCGGAGATGCCCAAGACCATGGGAACCCACCTCTTGCATCAGCATGACCGGGATATGAGACCTGGAGTCAAAGGAGATAATTTTGGAGCTTTAAAATTTGACTGCCCTGCTGATTTTGAACTTGCATGGGGCCTGTACCCCTTTGTTTTGGCCAATTTCTCCCATTCGGAAAGCCTGTATTTACCCAATACCGGTATCCTCATTGTATCTAGGAAGTAACTAGCTTGCTTTCGATTTTACAGGCTCATAGGCGGAAGGAACTTGCCTTGTCTCAGATGGGATTTTGGACTGTGGACTTCAGGATTAATGCTGAAATGAGTTAAAACTTTGTGGGACTGTTGGGAAGGCATGTTTTGTTTTGAAAGGTGAGGACATGAGATTTGGCAGGGGCCAGGGGTGGAATGATACAGTTTGGTTGTGTCTTCACCCAAATCTCATCTTGAATTATATCTCCCAGAATCCCCACGTGTTGCAGGAGGGACGCAGTGGGAGACCATTTGAATCGTGGGGGCAGTTTCCTCCATACTGTTCTCGTGGTAGTGAATAAGTCTCACAAGATCTGATGGTTTTATCCGGGGTTTCCACTTTTTCATCTTTCTCATTGTCTCTTGCCGCTGTCATGTAAGAAGTGCCTTTTGCCTGCCACCATGATTCTGAGGCCTCCCCAGCCATGTGGAACTGTAATTCCAATTAAACTCCTTGTTCTTCCCAGTCTTGGGTATGTCTTTATCAGCAGCATGAAAACGGACTAATACAGCAACACTAAATAAAAGCTTCAGTTCTTATTCATTTTCAGAAGGCAGTAATTCTCTACAGTTATGAATTCAAGTACACGTTTCTAAAATGTTAAGAGGACATTTCTCCGAAAGTGACTTATGTGAGATCCAGCTTCTAGCAGCTTGGGATCAAGTCTGATTGTCCTTCTTGGTATCAATAGCTTTAAAAAAAAGACTTCAGGCCGGGCGCAGTGGCTCACGCCTATAATACCAGCCCTTTGGGAGGCCAAGGTGGGTGGATCATTTGAGGTCAGGAGTTCAAGACCAGCCTGGCCAACATGGTGAAACCCCGTCTCTACTAAAAATACAAAAATTAGCCAGTTGCGGTGGTACACACCTGTAATCCCAGCTACTTAGGAGGCTGAGACAGAAGAATTGCTTGAACCTGGGAGGCGGAGGTTGCAGTGAGCCAAGATTGTGTCATTGCACTCCAGCCTGAGCAAGAGTAAGACTATCTCAAAAAAAAAAAAAAAAAAAAAGACTTCAAAAAATGAGAACATGCTTTATATACCAATTATGAGCCAACGGATGCAATTTATTGTATTCATCACATGTTCTACCCACGCATGACTGTGTGAGATTCTTCTGGCTCCTCTCAGGAAGAAGTAGTAAGTTCCCATGTGTTTGTGTGACCCAAAGTGAACTGGCTCCTTGGATCCTAGAATTGTCCCTGGAGAAGCTCACTATGTTTTCCCTCAAGCTTCTACCGTCTGGTCATAATGAAATGTGTGCACTGCAACAAACACTGTCTCACATGAGCCTTTCCATGTGTTCTCTCTACCTAGAATGTTCTTCCCTGTTTTTTTTTTTTTTTTTTTTTTTTTTTAACTGAGCTAAGTCCTATTTGCTCTTCAAGACTCTGCTTGTCACGTCCTGTGGGAACCCTTTCCTGAGGTGCACCTTGCAGAATTCCCCTGGCAAGCAGTCCTTTCTCTATTATGGGACTCACTGCACTGTGCTGTCATGACTTCTCTACTGTTATATCCTTTAGGGCAGGAAAATTTACATTTAGTTCCATCTCTTCCTCTTAGCTCAGTGTGTGGCACTAGTAGGTAGTCAATGAATATATATTTATTATGCCATTTATTTATTTAATTTTTTTTTTAGACGGAGTTTCACTCTTGTTGCCCAGGTTGAAGTGCAATGGAACGATCTTAGCTCACTGCAACTTCCGCCTCCCAGGTTCAAGTGATTCTCCTGCCTCAGTCTCCTGAGTAGCTGGGATTACAGGCGCCTGCCACCACACCCAGCTAATTTTTGTATTTTTAGTAGAGATGGGGTTTCTCCATGTTGGCCAGGCTGGTCTCGAACTCCTGACCTCAGAAGATCCAAACACCTCGGCCTCCCAAAGTGCCGGGATTACAGGGATGAGGGATTTATTTAAATAAGTAGCAATCTGCCTGCTGAGCTACAGGGCATGCCAACACATGCGTTTCCCAACCAACCCAGGGAAGCCTGAGCACTGGCAATGAGTAGGACATTTCGTTGAATAATTATTATTTTTAAAATTACTACATAGACACAGAGGTGCAGTTACAATAATCTAGTATGTTTCTAGTATGTTTCATAGGTACACATACTCCTAAATCCCTGAAAACTCTGAAGAATAAAATGTTTCATATGTGTTTTTAGCTAAGCTAATTTTTAAGAACTAAAATACAGAATGTTTACAAGTTTACTTTCAGTTTTGATCCTCAAATCAAAACATATGCCTCGGTCTATCCTCAAACCACATGCAGGATCTCAAGTCCTGCCCTTCTTTCCTGGAAGCCAAAGAAACCTCCAAATATGCTGACAGTCAGTTATTTTCTACCCTTTCTTCTTTTTCTTCCATTTTAGTTTTGAAAAACAGAGAACCGTCACAGGCAGATAATTCAGGTTTGTGTAGAATAAATACAAAAGGGATAAATACATTTGTTAAAAAAAAGAACAAAACAATCTGTTGACTTTTTCTTCTGTGCAGCAAGGAAACTATTTTCCCTGCCCACAAGTGCTAATAAACAGCTTACATGCATTGGGGGGTGTGTGTCTTTGTTTAAAAATAGGACCTGGTATAAAGCTGGAAATGTTAGGATTGCAATGCTGGAACCTGCTACTGCATAAAAATACCAAACTGGTGGAGATCCAGAACTTACCCTTGCTGTTAACAGCACATAGCACTTTTATTGGCTTTTATTCTGAATTTATTAGCACCAATTCTCAATCAGGAATATAGTCGCAGAGCCATCCTATATTACCCTGGAAATTCCCAGCCTGCAGACATAGACCTCAGTTTGTAGACCATTCTCATACGAGAAAAATGAGCAGGACACACAGAAGGGTGACCATCAGTCTGGTTTCTTATGTGCTCTCCTGTATTGGGAACTGTTTCTTAAGGTAGAATTTTTCTATAGAATATTGGTGTTTCAGGTATTATACCTGAAGATCTGTCCCTCTTCAAGTATCCAAAGTATAATTCTCTAGGACACTTTGACAATAAAACCTTTTTTATAAAAGCACTTCGGTATCGTCCCTTGGCCTGGGCCACTAACTTCTTCCCTTCTCTTGACTCCACTTCTCCTTGAAGGTCCACTCCACACCTCACTACCCCATTGTACTCAGCCACACCTACAACTTGATTCCACTGCACACCAACTCGATCTCCATTTGAATGATAATCATAACAGCCTCTATCTATCGAGTGCCTGCTCTTTGCCGGATGCACTGCACCATCACTGCAGCTAATCCTTCCAACTGCTGTTTTGCAGATGAAGACACTGAGGCTCAGAGATGTTCAGTAACTTGCTAAAAATCACACAGCTTGTCAGTGACTATGTGGGATACCAGGCTGAAAGGTTTAACTCCACAATCCATGCTCTTTCTATAACTCCATATCGCCTCTCTTTTGGTATTTCTTTTTCCTAAATCTGGTTTCCTCCAATAAAGAATCCCTTAAGGGGAAGAATTATTTCTCTTTATATTCTCTTTAAAGTTAACATCACCAGGCATTTATGAAGCATCTGCCATGTAGGTGGCACAGTGCTAGATATTGAGGATTCAAGAGACACAGGCCATGCTCTTGGCCCTGAGGACAGAGCACAGAGCTCCTAGCTGGTGCCCACATGTGTTTGTACCAGACTGATCATGGCACTGTGGGATAAATACTTCTCTCTGGGACCTGGGGTTTCCCAGTAACATCAGTTATACTCCCCTGGAATTTAATGAAGGCATTTCTACCTTGAACACCATTTTAGGTTTCCTTAGAGAAATACAGAAAATCTGATTATAGGGTGTTATCCTGGATCCTAAAGCGCTCTCCAGTGTGATTTGATGTGTACTTTGAAAGCCTAAATAGTAATCCAATTGTAAATTTCTACACTGACCCAGCTTAGCAGCAAAGTAGACTACCAATGACTAGGAATGTTGAATTAAAGGAGATCCTTATTGAGAAGGATTCAGATTTCTGTCTTTTTTCTTTATCCTAATTACTTTTAGAAGGCTGCCTCTTGGAAAGGATAATGGAGTACGATTTTCCTGTTGAGGAAATATTCTGGAAGAAACACGACCCGTTGAACTTAAGAGATGACTCGTGCTATGGAAGCTCTGTTGACTAAAGATAAAAAGCCCAGGGCAGAGGATGTACCAAGCTTAACTGTCCAAGAACATGTTTTCTGCAAAGTGGCTGATGTGCCTCACAGTCACGACCACTGCACAGACCCTGTCTGGGTGACTAAGCGATTCTCTGGCTTCTTTAGCAAATTCTCTTGAAGGAAGCTCATTGTATTCTAACTTGTGGCTATGGAAGTAACATGAAAGAAGTAAAGAACAATTTTGAGCAAAACAGTATGAAGTTGCCTTTGCCAACTCTGATAAATGAAAGTTTTTACTCCTTTCCTTTCAATTTCTCCTCCAGAGGAATGCTTTATTGCGCTTCTTTCATTGAATATTCTTTTCTTTCTTTCTTTCTTTTTTAACAGAGACAGTTTCTCTAGACTTCAAAGGGGGAATGTGTGAAGGGAGAACTGGGTCTTATCTTTCTGCCTCTTACAACATTGGGTCACTAGAATCTTACCAGCAAGAAAGAGGAGTCACTGTGAATAAAGAGAAAGCACATCTGGAAAATATCAACATTTTAGCTCATTAATGGTGTGTTTGGAAAGCAAAAGTGCATGTTGTATTATTTTATTTATGTATTTTTTTGTCAGCAGAGGCCTGAAGGAGGGAGGCACCAAAGGAAAGAAAAGAGGGGCAAGACATCATCTCGTCTCCCCTTGTACTTGCTCCCCATTATCTCTTCTTCCCTTCACCTTGGTGAGACTGCCCCCCACAAAGCAGGCCAAGGCAATCTCCAAAACATTAGGTTTCCAGGGAGGGCTTTTAGGGCAGCTATCCCCTACCTGCAGATTGGCCTAGAGGTCCCTGAGCATCTATTGTTTGCCTTCATGGAAGGCAGCCCTAATGCACAATCCATCCATCCATCCATCCATCCATCCTCCCATTAATTCATCCAGTGAACTTTCCTAGGCACCGGTTAAATATCATGAGACCAGGTGCTGGTGGGAGATACAATAAATAAAAGGTAGTCTCTTGTCTTCGTGGAAACTTGTAGTTTGGGTGGTGACACACTCAAGTCCATTGACTCTAATGACACAGTGTGACAGGAGCTAAGAGTAAATACCGGGTGCTATGGGAACAAACAGGAAGGGGCCTAATTCAGCTTTCGGGAGCTGCCATGTGTCTACATGAGACATGAAGGGTAGGAGGGAAGCACTTTAGCTGGAGAGCAGAGAAAAGATGCTGTGGGCAAATGGACCAGCACACGCTAAACATGCCAGAGCCAGGACGGGCTTTCCATGGATAAAAAGGGAGGAAATATCTGTACCTTAACAAACACACAGAAAAAAAAGAAAGGGGGAAACAAAGCCTCTTCTTTGACTCTTTTTGTATAATTCTGAATGCATAAATGTCCTAGACCTTATTACCTAGCAGAGGTAAAAAGTACAAAATGTTAATATATTTGCCAAACCACTCTCGTCTCTCTTTTAGCAGTAAATGTGATTACATAGTACTGAGACTTAAAGATACTTATTAAATGGCTGCTTGATTTCAAGCTTCTCCTTTATCTTGGCTCACTAGGAAAAGTCATGGAGAAGTGAGTAATGACCTAAATAATCTAAACGACAGGAAGAGAAATAGTCCAGATTACCTGGGACATGGAAAACCCTCCTTTCTCTCACCAGGTTCCCACTCCACCTCTCTGCCCTGGGCTAATCATGATTTAATAGCCTTCCTTAATCACTTACTCTGTTTGCTGCTTCATCTAAAAACTTAAGATGCTCCGGGTTAGATCACGGTCTAACTCATCACAAATGGATAGAATGACCTGGTAATTTTCCAGATTTCCATTGCCCAGACTAATCAGTCAACACACCCAGTGATGCACATTATTTTCCACGTATATGGCCTTAGAGATGGGACTAAAAGCCTCGACTATACTGAGGATTTTTAACAGGTTTTGCCATTCTAATGGCTAGATCTGTGTAATGTGGTCAGGAAGAAGCAAGGAACAGAGACACAGATATGATTTCCTGGGACCAAGCACAGGACAGATACTTCAATTACATCATCTTTGCTCATCCCAATCACTTTGACAAGTAGCATTATTATTGCCATTTTACAGATAAGAAATCAGAAACTCTAAGAGGGTATGATTCATACCTGGGTATGGAGCCATGTGGAAGACACAGCATGGCCCCTGGCACACTAGCAAGCACTTACTGAACATTCACAATTGTATGACAAATGGTAGGATCAAGGCTTGAACCTGGACTGTCTGGCCCTGACACCCATCTCATTCCAATACACACTGTGCTTTCTCAGGAAACTACTACATGCTGGGAGAGAGGTGGGAGGAATGACCAGTTGGAGGGAATTCACTTGGAATCTTTCTTTTCCTAGGTCAGTCTGTGGACCACAGAGCAGAAGGAAGACCTGATGATCCACAGACTCTACGTCAGCCTCTGTTCTGAAACCAAATGGCCGTATTTGCCTCTCGTGTTTTTGACAGGAAGGTTCGCCTGGCTGTTTTCTAGAAAAGGGCTTATGTAGTTTTGCGATTCTGAATCACGACACCTTCTACCTATGGTCTCTGAAAGGTGTGTGGGGAACTTACTGTGTCTGCAAGTCTGGAGGATTCGGGCAAAAATTCTGCCCTTACCCTAAACCAGATATGTTTAGGCCCAACATCCTATAAAGTGGGTTGAGGTGGGAGTGCTGCCTCTGTGCTTAATTTCTACAGTGCAGTATTTTTATAGAGCTATATAAACAACAGTGACCACAGTGAATGTGCTGAAGAAAAAAAAGGGAATTAGTTGGCCAATCCCTGGGTGAAGCATGTTGTATCTCTGGAGATCTTGTGTTTTGCTTATTCTCTGTCAATATAGTTTTTCCTGTGTGCTGACACCAGGGTTTCCATAAAGCCTCCAAGAGATAAGATGAAAAAAATAGAGGAAGGAGTAGCTAGAAATAGGTAGGAAAAAGCAACAAGGGAAAAAAAAAACATTATAACTCTCAGAGAGGACCCTGATTATTGCTGAAATGAGTCAAAAGGAATTATTGTGTCCCCCCTTTCAGATCTCATAGCTGTAAGTTCAAGATACAGAGATGAAGTTTATCATGTTGTTATTTTGCATCTGAGTTGTATGAATGAAATACTTCATACTTGCAAATATGAATTTTCTCATGCTTAACTTAATGAAGGAACACTTGTTATTTGGAAGAAAAAAAAGAAAGCATACTTACCTTTATATCCCAAAATGGCTACTGTGATTGTTAGCAAGGCACACAAAATGTATAATAATATGATAGAGAACTTCAGCGCCCAGTTATTTTTACATTTGGTACATTGTGTTCCTTCCTGAATACCTGTAAGAGAAGTCAAATTTTAATAACAGTAAGCAAAGGTGTCATTTAAAAATATATCTTTTTGCATTTTGGTTCAAATACCGGGACTAAGAATAATTTTTACATATGCCTTACTATGCTATGAGAACTATTGTGACAGTAAACACACTGCTTGGGCAACATAAGTACTTTAATATTACCATTCTATTGTTATAGCTGTATTTAATATGACTTTAAAATAACTGCACATAACTTTGTTTCATAGAATACAGTCAAGCATCATTTAATGGGAATACAGTCTGAGAATAGCATCATTAGGCAATTTCACCACTGTGTGAAGATCCTAGAGCAGGGGTCCCTAATTCCCAGGCCATGGACTGGTACCAGTCTGGTGGCCTGTTAGGAACTGGCTGCACAGCAGGAGTTGAGTGGCAGGTGAGCCAGCGTGACCACCTGAGCTCTGCCTCCTGTCAGATCTGCGGCAGCATTAGATTCTCTTAAGAGCGCGAACCCTATTGTGAACTGCACATGCGAGGGATCTAGGGTGCGTGCTCCTTATGAGAATCTGACTAATGCCTGATGATCTGAGGTGGAACGATTTCATCCTGAAACCATCTCCCGCCCCCTGTCCATCCATGGAAAAATTATCTTCCATGAAACTGGTCCCTGGTTCCGAAAAGGTTGAGGACCACTGTCCTAGAGTGTACTTACACAAACCTAGATGGTATAGACCAGTGGTCCCCATCTTCTTCCCCAATTTTTCCATGGACCAGAGTAGGGGTAGGGATGGTTTCGGGATGATTCAAATGCATTCCATTTATTGTGTACTTTATTTCTATTATTATTACATTGTAATATATAATGAAAAAATTATACAACTCACCATAATGTAGAAACAGTGGGAGCCCTGAGCTTGTTTTCCTGTCAACAGATGGTCCCGTATGGGTGTAACGGGAGACACTGACAGATCACAGGCATCAGATTCTTATAAGGAGGGCAAACCTAGATCCCTCGCATGCACAGTTCACAACAGGATTCGCGCTTCTATGAGAATCTAATGCCGCCGCTGATCTGACAGGAGGCAGAGCTCGGGTGGTCATGCAAGTGATGGGAAATGGATGTAAATACAGATGATGCTTCACTCACTCGCCCGCTGCTCACCTTCTGCTATGCAGCCCAGTTCCTAACAGGTAACCAGTCCATGGCCCTGGGGGTTGGGGACCGCTGATATAGACTACTACACACCTAGGCTACATGGTACGGCCTGTTGCACCCAGGCTCAAACCTGTACAGCATGTTACTCTACTGACAGGCAACTTTATTTTTGGCAACTTTAGCACAATGGTAAGTATTTGTGTATCTAAATATAGAAAAGGTACAATAAAAATACAGTTTTATAATCCTATGGGACTGCCATCATCTATGCATTGTTGACTGAAATGTTATGTGGCACATGACTGTAGTTTCAAATCAAATTCCATTATGATAATTACAATGATAAGTTCAGTAAAAACCTCTATATGACAAAATATTTAAACACTCAAATTTACTTACTTCAGACATTATTAGACCTACAACAATTCAAATACAACAAAAAAATCCTATTGATTGATCCCTTGATGTTTGTTTCAGTGGCATGCTGAAGTTGGTTCTACTGGCTTGTAAGAGCCAATTGTTAAATTTGTAAGAATTTTGAGAGCTGGTTGTGAAACTGTTGGTAGCTTGAAATCCGCCTTGCAGGGAGCATTTACACCATAGAAATTGGCAAACACTACAAATTAGGATGACCCCCATTCGCTGGCCACAAACAACTAGTTTACCAGCATGCCACCGGTTGTAATGTATTATAACCTATGGCAGAAAATACAAGTAATCTTATAATTAACTGCCCAATATATAACAAATTTTGCATATTACATGTATACAAGAAACAGACACTGACACTTATATATGTTATCATAGTGATTTGAATAATGACTGTAGAACAAATAGAAAAACCAGACACTTTTGATGAGAGGAGGTAAATTTTTACTGCTAAAAGTTCAAGTTTTGGAAAAACATTCTTGTCTGAGCAGTAAACCAGCATCACTGCTGCAAGTGACTCCAGAAACTAACCTTTAAAACGAGAATTTCCATCTGATAGATTAGAAAGACACACAAGACAAAGACTGTGGATGTTTTAATGTAAAAATCACATTGTAAGGAATATCAGGAGATTCCCTGTTTCCCCGACCTGTTTCCCTATGTGTGTCTTACTAATAGCGTCCCCCAGGAGCAACAGCACATAAAGAGGACTGATCTCCTATAACTGTGCTCAATAACTTTTGATGGGTAAGTCATGAGGATTAAGCCACAGTCGAAGTTTCTCTCCTTTGGTTTGTAATTTTACGCATAGTGCCCTTCTTCAGTGAAAAGAGCTCTTCAGCTGTGTTTAATGCAAAATGATGAGAGAAACAGCATATAACAATGACTTAAATTTAGCTTTCAGGGTTCAACCAATCCCTCTGGTGTTCAGCACATCTCTCTGGCTGTAGACACAAAGGGAGGAGGTGCATCTGTCAATTTCATGACTTAGAGCAGTGCTTCTCAAACTTTGGGGTGCATCAGAGTCACTTGAAGCACTCATTAAAACACATTGTTTCTAATTCAGGAGGTCTGAGAAGGGAACTGAGAATGTGGATTTCCATTTTTTTTTTTTTTTGAGATGGAGTTTTGCTCTGCTGGAGTGCAGTGGCACGATCTTGGCTCGCTGCAACCTCTGCCTCCAGGGTTCAAGTGATTCTCCTGCCTCAGCCTCCCAAGTAGCTGGGATTACAGGTGCCCGCCACCACGCCTGGCTACTTTTTGTATTTTTAGTAGAAACGGGGTTTCACCATGTTGGCCAGGCTGGTCACAAACTCCTGACCTCAAGTGATCCACCTGCCTCACTGCCTCGGCCTCCAAAAGTGCTGGGATTACAGGTATGAGCCACCATGCCTGGCCAAGAATTTGGATTTCTAAGAAGTTCCCAGGTGATGCTGATGCTGATGATGCTGTGGTCTGGGGACCACACTTCAGAACAATGTTTCTCAAACTTTAAAGTGCTTACACATCACATTGTTGAAATGCAGGTTCCAATTCAGTGGGTCTGAGGGAGGAGCTAAGATTTTGCATTTCTGTAAGGTCTAGGTGACAACTGGTCTGAGGACCACACTTCAAGGAGCAAGGGTTTAGTTTAGAAGCTGGTCATGATGAATTGACCTTTGGTTAACCAATCCCTTGAAGGTGAAGCTGTAAAATTAGACTCACTGATCAAACAAACCTAGAGTAAATCAACTTCTTTATTATAATTTTTCCATTTTCCCCCTCTCTTTCCTTTCTGTCTTACTTCCTTATAGCCACCTGTATATCTCAGCACCATCTCTTATGTCTAAAACTTACTTCACTTCTAGCCCTGCCAAACCAGATCTCAAACTTCCACCCAACTTTTCTTATTGTACTCAACTTAACTACTATTACTACCCCAATTCCTCAGGTGGTTAAACTCAAAGACACCATCATTTCTTCTCTTGTACTTATTCTCCAATTCAGTCACCAGGTCTTGTTAATCCTCCAGTGGGCTATTTCTCATCATGATCATCATCATCTATAGCTTACTGATGTTCAGGTACTGCCTACAGTGTGCCAGCTTCTGAGCTAGGTCCCTTACACACAGCATCTCTAATCCATAAAAAGACTGCAAGAGGGCATCATAGTGAGAGCTGAACTGACCAACCTGTGTCGGACTCCAGATGCCACGATCTCTCCACTAGGCCATGGTCCCTCTCTATAGCCATCCTTTCCTCTCCATTTCCCCTGCCACCACCCTAGTGTGAGATCTTTTCATCTCAGTGGAAGCTTCCTCTTCCATTCCCACTGGAATCTAGCCTCACCCTTTATTAAAATACCACTGTCCTCGTGACATTTGCTAAAAAGGAAAAAACCAAAACAACAAACTTTCAAGAAGGCACTCTTAACTAAAGGATGTGCGCATGCACACACCCACCCACACTCCCCCCAGCCCACCACACATACACACCAGTGCGTAAGCTCTCTGTAATCTGACGGTATAAAATGAAAAAAGACTCTTTACAACCAATAAGAGTAAAAATACTTTTGAAATTTAGAGAAAGGAACATATAGGTAGACCCACAGACACGCCACATTCCATGCTGAGAAACCATGAACTTGCTTTGGTGGCAACTGTGAAGCACAGAAGGGCGACCGACACAGGGTGCTGGCCTGACCTCCCGCTGAAGGACTGGGTGGCACTCCCACGCTGATGGGCGGCGGTTATTCCTTTGGGATTTTTGGACCATGCTGGGTGAGCTTCTTATGCCTCTTCAGGATGATTTCTTACCTTCCACCTTAGTGGAGCCGCAGAGGATTTGGTTAGAGCAGAGATTATGGTAGATGACACAATCTGGGAGCTAGAAGGTTGTGCAGATCAAGCGTCATTGTGTCATTGATGGGAAAAGAGAGGCCCAGAGAGAGGAAGCAGGATCAGAAGCCACATGTCCTGACTCCAGCACACTCATCTTTCCCTCCCATCCTTCCCAGTGAGCTAGCCCTGTGGCCGCCAGGCATCTTGTGCATGTGGTATTCGTGCAGATCCACTCCCAGACAGCTGTCACTGGTTCACATTCCGAAGAGCTGGGGCACCTCCTCACTGTGTGCATTTCTCTCTGCTGACTCTATCAGCATTTAATCAATATCAGATGGCACTGCCTGGCCTCCTTTTCCACTTGACACACTTTCTCTGTCTTGTTTTCCCCCTCCCCTGACTTCTTTTTAATAAGAGTTCTGTTTTATCTTCCTCTCTGCCCTCCGCTGGGAGGACATCTGGCCAAACACACGGATGCCTACTACAAAGGGACCCAGCGGGCTCCTGTAGCTGGGGCACCCCCTCCTCCTTGAACCTAGATGGTTACAAAATAACATTCAAGAGAGATATCCCCCTGTTACCAGCCTTTGTAGTGTTTGTTTTCTTAGCATTACTTTCC